GAAAGCTGCAGTTGCAAGGCCCAGCTCCTATGGTAGGAGAGCCAGGAGCGAGAGCCTGAAGGACATACTTTGTAAAGAAGTTTGCATAGTCCCGTAGGATCCAACAGAAAATGATATCCTTCCTCTAGGGTTTCAAACTCCCCTTACAGAAGCTAATAGGGAGCTACATCCTCAGCACACACTTCCATTGCACAGTGACAAGTAAGACTTCTATAGGAAGAAACCTCCTGATCTATTAACTTCTATGGGTGAAATCTTGGTCCTATTTAAGTCAATGGGAGTTTTGTCACTGGCTGCAGCAGGGCCAGGATTTCAGATTGTAGGTCTGCAGAGTCCTGTTCATCTTCCACAGACCCATACTCTCTAAACGGTATCAGGTCCCTCAGTGGCAGAGGGGACGGTGCTAACAGCAATCCCTACTGTGACTTGCACTGAATGCACCGCCACCCATCTGGGCCAGGGGTATTCATTGCAGGGCTGGGACATTGCCAGTTGTCTTAGTGGAAGACAAAGCTGTACACTAGAGTGGGGAGGAGTTATTTCAGTCTCATCTGGCACCTTAGTTGGTTTGGTGAAACCCTGTGTGGGGAGATGGAAACCAGCTTTAATTTAAATTTACTGCCAAGAAATATCCTGTGAGAAAGTCTGCCCTAGGCAAGAGCTAGTTTCCAGATGATAGGTAGTGCAAACAGCCACTGGCATGGCATACATTTCAGATTAAACATTACTCCACCTACCCCTCAGTTCCACTTTAAAGGAATGCTAATTGCTACCCTTGGACTGCCGTGATCCTATCTAGGATTTTGAATGAAAAATAAGGGACCTGGAACCCCGTTTTGCATCTTCCTCCCAGCAAGTATTTACATTGCAAAGTGGCTCAAGCTTCTAGCCATTGTCAGCCGTGATAGCTTGCGTTTCTGAGGGATTTGAATACTGCTATTCTGCCCTATTAACTTCAGGTTTTGTTTCTACAAAATGGCATAATCATCTCAAGCAACAGTTTTGTGGTTTTGTGCATGCTGAGGATTCGCATGGTAATTCCCTGAAGCATCTGTTCCTCCATATTCATGGGTGCTCTACTTTATTTCAGCCTACGTGCTTCTAGGCTTGCATACTAATGACTAATTTTCAGGTGGGTGAAAAATAGATTGCTAATGAGGCTGGTGATGAAATACAGATGAGCGCCCAAAAGGTCTCCCCGTCTGAATGCTGCTCACGTGTCTGTGTAAGACGTGTTGGTGGCTTCCATCCCTTTTTTGCAGGATGGGTGTCCCAAGACAGATGATCTGGACAAAGATACCTTGCCAGGACCATGCTGTCAAAGGCAGGGAGTGGGGGGATGCCCATAGTCTAATGGTGTCACCAGGTGGCTGGCTGCAGCTATTTGGGGCAAGCCTGCTGATAGGAAGCGGTGTCAAAGGCAGTGCTTTATGTAAAGGTGAGTGACTTTCAGACTCAACACTCAACAGGCCTTTCACGGTGAGAATCCAGACAGCAAAGATTTACTTACATATATAAAAAAAAACCCAGATTCATTCCTAACAACGGACCAGATTTTCTTCTGTATTCTGCAGCCAAGGGACATTACATCAGTGGAAGGCAGGTGTTAGGCCCTACATTTACTTGTACTGAAGTAGCATTTGGCAGGTGCAATCCTGTTTAACACCTGGGTGTTCAGATATGCTGCAGCATTATGTTGCTGAAAGCAGGGGTCAGATTGGGAAATGAGGACAAAAAAAAACAAACAAAAAAAAACTTGGGAGGTACTAGTCCAAGCTCCGTACACATTTTAAGATCCAGTCACTCGAATTGCAGTATACCTCCCGAGCTGTGTACTCCGCCTGTGTAATGCCCGAGTGATGAGTGATTATGGCAGCAGTCCCAAGGTCAAGAGAGAGGGGGGGAGCCACGGCCTTTGTTTTCGACAGTAAAGCTGCCTTCTGGATGCTCAGAGATTTGCTTCTTCAGCATGCCCCAAACCACCCAGTTTATACTAATACTAATGAACCAGGTACCGAGTCCACGTCTAAATCTTGTCAGCATCCGCAGCCTAGGCAATCCTCCAGTTATTTTGCCCACAGACTCCAGCCCTCAAAATCTGGTAGGTGATTTCAGAGCGAACCAACCGGACTGAACCCTGCAGAGGGAGCGGTTGTTTCCTTTCAGCTAATTGCTCGCCGGTTCCACCTGAATCCAGTTCCCCCATTTTGCTTTAGTAGATCTGGGCTGGCTGAGTGGTTTGGGCAATCCTCGAGGAGAGAGGAGATCTGGGTTGCAGTCCACTGAACATGCAAGCATTGCACATGCAGTAGGCACTGAGTTGCTATGACATAAAAGAAACTAAAACTCCTGATCGCAAACCTTTCACGTTCTCCTGGAGTCCAATACTGCAGATGTAGGAGTCCTTCCTTCGTGCCATAGTTTCCTTGAATGTGCTAACAGCAACATTGCTAATAAAATCAGTTTAATCTGAGAAACTGTTCACCTTACAACACATAAATGCGGGCATCTGGAAATCTAAACAGATGTGTACCTTTATGCTTCTAGGTCCAGAGGGCCAAAAGATTTGCATATACTCTTTCTGGGAAGGCAGCATGGGAGGGAAGACTAATAAGTCAGGAATAGCTCCTCATGCATCCAGGGAAGCATGTTAGAAAGTATTGCAACCTCCCCACTCATTCTGAAGCCGATTTTGAAGCTTTTCCTTGACAACTTATTTCAATCTGAAAACTAACCTCAGAGGAGACAGGGAGCCCACTGTCTTCTGCTCCCCTTTCCCCTAGTTTTTGCTTTCTTTCTGTCCCTCTACACAACCTCATTGCTGCTGATACAAGAGTCATCTTCTCTGCAAGTCTTCCTGTCTGGAACAACCGTTTCATTTTCCCCATGTCATTTCACAGCTCCTCTAAAAAAACACTTCTTGGCCTGAACCAGCAGGCAACTAATGGAAGAAAAGCAAAGCTTCACATTGATGTGACTAATCTGTTGCTCTGCTTGCTTCTCCCTGTCTGACTTGCTGCTCTGCTTTCTGCTCCCTTTCCCTTCTTCAATCTGCTGCATACCACACACAGGCTGCCGGTGTATCGCAGGCTGGCCACCCTTGCTTTAGTAGCATCCCAAATTCACTTCCTTCCAGCACTACACATAGAAAAGGTTATGGCCTCTTTTGCCCTTTATCTTGTGGTCAGAGTGACTCATCCTCCTCTGCAATCAGAGTCCCAGGCTGAGATACTCAGAAGCAATATAACAGACTGCGGTGCCTAACTTCCATTGGGTTCAATGGGTTGGGCACCTAATTCTCCTAACCCTCTCTGCAAATCCCAGCCTAACTTCTTCTTCTAATGCACAGTAATGATGATGATAATGATGATGATGATTCAGAGTATCCATGCACGTATAATTTGTGATTTCTGGGTAAAAAGAAGGAGTTATGAAATTGTGGTAGTGTTCATGCTTGCCTGTATGCACCCTTGATGACAAAGACTGTGTGATGACTCTTTCAGATCAGATACAAGCAGGACCATTGAACTTAAGGACCATGCTCTAACCAGACATGGGGTAAGGCAAGGTGAAGCAGGGAGGAAGTCTAAACAGTGGAAACTCCCCAAGCAGGATAAAAGGACTGAGGTGACAAAAAAAGGACTCAGAAGGAATGGGGGGAAGCCTGGGGCAGGGAGGGGAAGAAATGAGCACATTTTTGCAGCAGTGGGCAGTGGCTTGGTTAAGCTGTGAAACCAAGATCGGCAGCCAACTGAGCTGAAGAGATGCTATGGTTTCAAAGCAAGCCACGGCAGAAGAAGGATCTTGGATCAGCCTAGACAATCTGACTCCAGCGTAGGATGGGGAGGTAACCAGTGCAGGGAAGGGTGCCAGGGAATACTATTTAGTGTTGCTTATTCATCAGCATGAGAAATATAGCAATACAGAGCAGAACCCCTGTGCCAAACCCATCTGGGTGTGTGCTACACGTAGTACACGTCCCCGAAGGGTTAGAGGGTTGCCCTCGAATGCCCACACATCTGGAGTCCTGGAAGAGGGTGTGCTTAAGGTGTGCGGGAGTCTAAGATCAGCATCTAGGTCGCAAGGACGGGCAGATGGACCACAGGTCCCAGCTGGCAGGGTGGGGTGTTAGACAGATGCTTTGTGCCCTGGGAATGTGCCTGAGGACCCCATCAGGAGCAGCGCCTGCATGCTGTGCAAACTCCAGAGGTTTAAATCCAATCTAATCCAGTCCAGAGGACTGAGGCAGAGCACAGAAGTGGTGTTGATGCGGGTCTGAACAAAAGAGGGGTCCCTGCTAGGTCTGTGACACCCATCAGTGCTAGTGCCCAGATACCAGCCCTCAACATTCGAATAGTAGAAAAGCCTAGGTCTGTCTGTCTGTCTGTCTGTCCATAACACTTTCTTTGCACTCTGATTGGCTCCGAGCCCACTTCTCTCATTCCCCCACCGCCACCGGGTCGGCCTGGGCCTGCTGCTCCCTCTACCATGGTGAGCCGGCTTCTCTCCACCCTCAGGCCCAGTCCTCCCCAACATCAGGCCTGGGCCCACTCCTCTCCTCCCCACCCTGCTACGCCGGGGGGTGGGGAGCGGGCCTGGACCCCATGCAGCAGGAAGTAAAGGGGGAGTGGGCCTGGACAGAGGAGGCACGGGGCTCCCTCCCTGTCATTCCTAGTGGACAATTAGCTAGTGCAGAAATAAAAGCAAAGCTTCGTACCAGAGGAGAAAAGAAAGCGCAAATGAAGTGAAGCCTAAATGGGACAGATACTGCTAGACTAGCTGCTATGAAAACTGTGGTGGGTTATAGGCTCAGCAGCAGGGAAGGAAGATGGGACCCGAAGTGCTCGAAGGTCCCTGCTGTGACTCAGTGATGCGCTGCAAAATTCAAGCAATCTCCCTGCAAACACGTCTGTCACGTCTCAGCCGAGTGGGTGTGCCCCTGCCAGCAACACTCACCTTTCATGTGATCCCAGTGCAATGCAGCCGGCACCTGAGTCACTCTGCACCCGAGCAACACCGGTCTTTTCCTGTTTCCCACGAACTCTGAACACACCACGGGAGCTGTCCCTGCCTGAGTTTTAGGGTGGACATGCTGCTCCTCCTTGGTGTTTCCAAGCCCCGTGGTTTGCATTTTTGTGAAAGGTTTCCTCGTCCGACTATATGCTGACTAAATACAAGCTCAGCTTGTTTCCATGTAAGCTCGCTGGTAGGTTATTTACCTTCCACCCCGCTTGGAAAGGAATATCTCTCATTATCGTGCAAGTGGAGAGAGGGGGCAGGGGTCTGGAGATGCAGAAAAAAACTGCCCAAAGCAGAGAAAACCACCTTCCCTGACCTGTGCGCGCTGGGTGCAAGGGCTGAATGTGCCTCACCTCAGAGGATCTCAGCACACTTCACATGAGGATGTTAATCTGGAACTGTAGGTGGGGAAACTGAGGCACATTGCATCTAAGGGACTTGCTGAAGGATGGAGGGCAGATGAAGGACAAAAGCTGATCTGTGCTGCTTCTGCAGGGAGTCTGCCCGCTCCTGCTCCTGCTCCTGCTCCACAGGTGCCCTCTGGCAATGGGGGGGCAACCCTGGCAGGACGGGACTCCCTGCCGCCACCCTCAAGGGCTCTGCAGGCAGGCACCTGGAGAGCAGCAGCCGGGGGTGCTCTCAGAACCTTTTTACAGCCCCATTTCCAGGTTTGGCACGTGGAACAGAAGTGGGAGCAGTGGGCAGAGCAGGCTGGAGAGCAGCACTCCTGGGAGCGCAGTGGGAGCAATGCAGACACCCCCCATCCAGGTTCACTGACCCTCAATGACTCTGTAACACCAGTAGGGCGCACCAGTAGGGAGTGAGGGCATTTTGCACTGAGAAGGGGTGTGCAAAACCACCCAAAGGAGGCACTGTGCAGCTGGCCTTTTGCGGCACCACACACTCACTAACACACCCAGCCCTGCACTAAGCTGGCAGACCTACTTCCCATTGGGGCAGCTGTACGGACCCAGCAAGTGTAGCCCATCTCAGCTCGCAGCTCCCTAGCGCTATGCTGGGGTGGTCTAGATGTGCCCTCTCTTACCTGCTCCAACCACCGGAGCCGTGTGCTGCCTCCGATAATGGTGCTCTATATCCCCAGGGTCATTCAGCCCCTCTGCTGCCCACAGTGACCCTCCCCAGCTCTGCCATTACAATCTGGGAAGGACAGCCACAGCCTTGAGACAGCAGCAAGCTTTGCTGATTTGATCACATCAGCCCGTAGCTGCTCCAGCCAACGTGTGAGTACCTGTTTCAGGATGTTTGCTTGACTTGTACAGGAGTGAGATCAGTTACTTGAAAAAGAGGCAAACATGAGCTCGCCTAAGTACGGACAGCACGGCTAGGTGCATTCACTTAGTTAATGAGTATGCCTCGTGGTATTCACGGCCCCTCGTGGAGGGTGATATCACAGGTCATGCGCCACTGTCAAAGAGATTTCTCTCTTAGATCCTTGCAGCTCTGAAGCTGGACTTTCCTCTCACGCTGCTTTTGCATCAGGCTCGTTCCACCGTCTCCAGTGGAGTCCCCCAGGATTTACACCAGTGTAACAGAAAGGAGAAACGTGCCTAGCTTCAGAAGTCTTCTGTAGAATTAGCTGATTCCACTAAACCCCTCTGATTATCTTTTGTATGAAAGTTTGTTCCAGCAGTTAATCACCCTCCCTGCTGGGAAGGCGTGCCTTATTTTCAGTTTGAATTCATCTGGCTTCAGCCTCCAGCCATTTGTTCTTTGCTAGATTAAAGAACCCTTTAATACCCGTTAAGGTATTTGCAGGCTGTAATCAAGTCACTTCTCAAACTTCTTTCTGACAAACTAAACAAATGGAGCTCTTTAAGCCCCTTACTGGAAGGCAGTTCTTCCAGCATCTGAATGATTTGCTTGCACTCTCTCCAATTTTTCGAAAACCCTTTTAAAATGCAGACACTACAAATGGACACAGCATTGGGCTTACCAGTGCCAGGTGCACAGGTGAAGTAATTTCCCTGTTCCTGCTCCCCCATTCATGCACCCAAGGATTATTTTTTTTTCTACAGCTTTGCACTTAAAGATCATATGGTGTCAGGAGCGGACTGGCCAAGTTCAATGACGACACCAAACTTTGGGGTAAAGCATCCACACCTGAGGACAGGAGGGCGATCCAGGCTGACCTGGACAGGCTCAGCAAATGGGCGGATGAGAACCTGCTGGTGTTTAACACCGAAAAACGCAAGGTTCTCCGCCTTGGGAGGAAGAACCTGCAGCATGCTTATAGGCTAAGCAGTGCTACGCTGGCTTGAACTATGGATGAAAGGGACTTGGGGGGCATGATTGACCACAAGATGAACATGAGCCTTCAGTGTGATGCTGCGGCTAGTAAAGCAAGCAAAGCGCTGGCTTGCATGCATAGATGCTCCTCAAGCAAATCCTGGGACATCATTTTCCTGTTGTACTCGGCCTTGGTGAGGCCGCAGCTGGAGTACTGCGTCCAGTTTTGGGCTCCACAATTCAAAAAGGATGTGGAGAAGCTTGACAGAGTCCAGAGAAGAGCCACGCACATGATCAGAGGTCAGGAAAACAGACCTTACAATGACAGGCTGAGAGCTATAGGGCTCTTCAGCCTGGAAAAGCACAGGCTCAGGGGCGATCTGGTGGCCACCTATAAGTTTATCAAGGGTGCTCACCAGGATCTGGGGGAACGTTTGTTCATCAGAGCGCCCCAAGGGATGACAAGATCGAATGGTCGTAAACTCCTGCAAGACCGTTTCAGGCTGGACATAAGGAAGAACTTCTTTACTATCCCAAACCTTGGCGGCTTGAATAGACTACCGCCGAAGGTGGTTCAAGCACGTAGTTTAAACACCTTCAAGAGACATTTGGATGTTTATCTTGCTGGGATCCTATGACTTCCCCTGGGGCAGGGGGCTGGACTCGAAGATCTTCCGAGGTCCCTTCCAGCCCTAATGTCTATGAATCTACGCTGCTTGTCATCATTGACCCATGCATGTTTTTCACTGCTGGTGTTAAGGCCACCATCTTGGAGATAGGAACAGGGGTGGCTGGAATTGGAGCATGAGCAGCTACAGCTTGAGCTGAGGACTGGAACTGAGGGCTGTAATATCACATGCAAACTGAGCCAGGAGAGGCACAAGTGAGTTACATTTGGAAGTTTACTGAATATTACTAGTCTGCTTGGCTTCTGCTGTCACGCAACAGAGGTGGATGACTAAGACGTAATAGTAACACCAGTTTGTTGGCCCATATTCTATGGTGAGCAATGCTCATTAACTGTTCTCCTCAGAGGCCTCTGTTTGTCAATATTTTCATAGGAAATTATGGGAAAGTTCATATGATCTGCCCATTAAATGCAGACTAAAAGAAGTGCTGTGTAATTTCACAAGCTCCTACAAACTTCCCCTTGATTTGCCCTTGATTTTTGGCTAGGGAGCACTCTAAGTGCTTTCCATCGTTTTGGGTGCATCTACACAAGTCACATTAATGCGCCTTAGCCTAAGTTAATGTGCATTACGGGCGTACGTCTACATGTGCAAGTCCTTAATCCACATTAACTTAGGTGTATCACACCTAAATTTGATATCTGCAGATGTAGGTATCAAATTTAGGTGTTATTAGTTAATGTGCATTAATGCACTTGTAGACGCAACCTGGCACTAACTTTAGTGCCAGGTCTGCCCTGCCACTAGGGGGCTGGCCTGAGCCCAGCCTCAGGGAATATCCAGGGGCTGAGGGCACCTATCCTGGGGGCATGCCCCCTAGCCCCCCACTCACAGCCCCCCACTCTGGGCTTGAAGACCCAAAATATTGTAAATAGTTTCCTCCTTTTATATAGTTTCCCACCTGTAAGCCGGTTTTTATTGTTGGTGGGTGGGGAGGGTGATGGAGGGGCCCTGTTGGTTGAGGGGGAGGTGGTTCTGTTTGTTGAAGGGGGAGAGGGGAGGGATGGGGGTGGGTGTTTTGAATAATAAAGTTTTTTGTTTCACCCATGTGCATGTCCTGAGAGTGGTGCTGGGGGTGGGCAGGGGGTGAGGGGTGGGCAGCAGTGCAGGCGGGCTGGAGTAGGGAAGCAAGAGGTAGGGGTTGGGCAGGGCCTCTCACAGGCAGTTCCCTGGCCCCCACTGGTGGCTGCACAGTTGTCCTGGGGCCTGCTGGGCCCAGTAGGGCCAGCACCATGGCCAGCAGGTGCACGGGGTGCTGGTCGTCACTGGCAGGAGCAGGGGCAGGGTTAGGGGCTGGAGCAGCCCTGGCATGGGGAGGCAGGTTGGGCAAGGAGGGAGCTGCCACATGCACTGGGCACACGGCTTCTGGGCAGGCAAGTGGCTGGCCAGGGATCAGAGTTTTGCAGATGACTGCCAGGCGGTGGCAGCTGGCTCTGGCTGCAACATGACTGTCAAGTGCTGGCAACCATGTGACCGGAGGCTGGAGCTCCTGCCAGTGGCCACAGGGGCACATGGCAGAGCTGCAGGGACTTGGGACTAACTTTAGTGTCAAGTCCCTGCACGTGTAGATACCTGCCAAAAATCATTTAATTTGCATTAGCTTAATGCGCATGAAACTTAGTCGTGCTTACATGCATGTGTAGCTGTGCCCTCTGAGGATGTGGGGCTGTGCTTATGTTCTGTGTTCGCCACAATCCATTTGGTGTGGACTCACGTTGGTATGAAATCAGTGAAGTCATTTGTTATCAGGGAGATGATGGCAAAATGGTGAGACAATGGAGCTGGTCTGAGGCACGTTTTTGGGTGTATCTGAATAAGAAGGTCATTGCCAATCAAAGTCAGAATGCTTCGGTTTGACGTAGCACCATTTGGATATTTAATTAGAAGATGTAAGCTTGTTGAATGTTTTTTGGCTCCCTAATGAAGCTAACTGTGTTGTCAAATGCATATCAAATACTGGCTTTCAGATAAACATGCCTACACTTCATTGGTCTCTCAGGGCAATAAATTCCCATCTGTTGGCAAATATTTGAGGAAGGGGGTAGCATGCTGTACAATGTTTAACATTTTGGAGCAACTCCCCAGTATTTTATTTTCCTGGCTGCAGGGTGTTCTGTTTATGAGGGCAAGGTACCAGATCCGTCAGAGCAGAGACAATGTCTCAGCACAGAATAAAGCATTATGCTGCCAGCTCTTTGTTCCTGCAGGAGACTTATTTAAAGATTTGTTGACGCCTTATGGAAAACGATGAGGAAAACATTCTGCGCAAGGACAATTTCATTTCTCACTCCAAGATATTTTCTATTGCCCAGATTTTCCATAATGACTGGTAACTTTGGGTGCCTCAAAACTCAGGGGCTGGAGTAAGACATTTTAAAAGAAGCCAGAGCTCTGAACAGTGAAACTTAATTATTTTAAAACTATAACAACTATAGCTAAAATTATCCAGCTCTCTACATACTTTGTAGAACCTAATTTCTGCTTATGCCTGTGATCACTGTACTTCATTTACTCCTTAATTATCCATGCTCAACCAGCAAATTCTTGCTCTACCTACAGTATATGACAAATGGAAAACTGCTGGTTTGTTGCTTTTGAAAGATGCCTTCCTTTTATCTGCCCTTTACCTTTGCCTTTCAGACAATACAGATTACAGGGCCTATTGCATATTAAACTACAGAATTAATAAAAAAATTGATAATAGATACAAATATTCTTCCCTCTTCAGATTAAAAAGCTGGTGCCTTAAAAGCAGCTTACCAAAGAGCAGTGTGAAACCAAGTTGGTTTTGTGAGAGAAGGTTTTCATTGGAGTATAAGAGGCTAGCCTGCTCGCTGGGAAGGGAAGTGGTAGCAGGGAGAACCTGAAAAATCAATGCTAAGAAGGGGGAAAAAAGGCTTATAACATCATTGCAACTCCAGGAGTGCATCTCCTCTGCAAAGCAGCTGTAAAATTTGCACAGTGGGGTTCCACATTTGTTGTCTCTTGATGGATAGTTTCTGGTTAAGTTTGCTCAGTCTACAGTGAAAAGAAGTTCCCCCCTCTTAAGTCGTAGCTCCATAAACTCAGCCTGAGTTCTGGGATTCAAGCTGTGTGCTTTCTGCATCGCACATCATCCTGGTAATAAAGATGCTGCAGAACACTGGCTGCCTGGCTTATATTTATGTAACTGCCTTTTAAGGATGCTCACTTCTGTCTGCACATCTGTCCTATTGGTGGGGCTGTGCAGATGTGAGGAAGGGACAATGCCAAGAGGAAGGGACAATGCCAAGACAGTGAGTTTGCATGCGTAGTCTTCAAAACAA